ACCATGGCAGAGTTACACCAGCATCTTGCTTTAGGTCAGGTGCATAGCTGCAAAAAACCCCAGTACAACACAGTAGCTGTGAGAGATGAGAACTTGGATGAGATGCAGCTGGCTGAGCCTCCCCGCGTGCTTCTCTCACATCAATAGCGAGAGGATGCAACTAAGGGGACCCTGCCAGTATTCCTGAGGGAGGACAGAGAGCCACATCTGGAAGGGCCCAAGTGCAGTCCAGCCCGTATCCAAGTACATTATGTAGAGAGAGCACAAGTGATCTATACCCTGTCAGACATATCATATAACTGACCACAGAAGAGCAGAACAACGTGCTGCCTCACCAGCGCACATAGCTACTATCCTCTTTCTCTTCCATTATAGCACTGTGTGCCAAGACTACAAATTTCTCAAGCTAGGGAAAATAAAGCTTCATCCCTCTTTCCAGCTCTTGGGCACCAAGGTCAGTTTGTACACAGGGATAACGTGTTTGAGCTGGGGCAAGAAATGGACCCAGCCCACCACTGTCCTACCCCCGAGGATTCCCAGCACACCACAGGCTTTCCACTCTTAAGACTCATCTCGCTTGATACATGGCTTGGCAGGAGACCTAGCTCCATCTCTTCACAAAGCCCTTAGAGAAACCCTGAAAAAGGCCAACAAGAAATATCAATAGAGCCTGAAACAGCAATGCACAGCTTTATTTCACAGACCCGGTGCCAAGTCATGCCTTGGCGTGGTGCAAACAGCCAAAGGCACGTAGAACCCTACGCAAGAAATAGATGCCACATCCCGCTCCATGACCAAACAGAAACCACAATGCAAGATTTTAATGGCAGAAGGAAATCTGGGGAATAACAATATTCCTTAAATCAACAGGGTTTTATTCATTTCATTTTGCCTAGAAAAATGGCACATGACCATTTCACCTCCAAGGAGTTTCCATCAAAACATGCAGAGCTGGCCACTTGTCAGCTTTGGGCTGATAACCAGCAAATCAACCCGGGTGAGAAGCATCCCCATTCCCCGCCCAAGATTAACTTCAACCAGGTCAGATCCTGCTACTAGATTAGCTTAATGAAATCATGGAAATAACAGCGTGAAGTGGCAGTTTAACACCTGGGCAAGTGGAAGGCTGTGCTCCCTGAACAAGGACTGCCATGGATCACATACAACCTTCTTCTCCTTGGACACTTTCCACCCAACGCAGCTCAAACTGCTCCTCTTCTCTTCCAGCAACCTGCAAACCACAGGGACAAGATGACCAATGTGAGACAGCTAAAGCCACAAGGAACCCAGTCTGACCTTGCAGCTGGCCCTGCTTGGGAGCAGGATTTTTGACCAAGAGACCTCCTGAGATCTCTTCTGACCTAAGCAATCCTATGGTCCTCCATCAGAGGAAAGTGATGGAAAGGAAAAAAAAAAAAACCCAAACCTAAAAGAAGCAATACACAACTGGGTAGAATTAAAATCATGGGGGTTTTGTTAAAAATAAAATGCATTTGTGACAAAGACATTCAGCTCTCACTTCACCTATAAGACTTTTCCATAGGCACCTGTTAGAGGATTCCTCCCCACAGAAAAAAATACCCTACCATGATGACTATCAGAGCTGTAACTCTTGATAATGTTTTAAAAACAGATACAAAAACCAGTTTAATTCTAAAAGTTACTGTTCAATATGCTTCCCTTCTGAATTTTGGTATTTTCTGAGGTCATATGGTTTGTTGAGTTTGTTTCTAAAAGTTTAATTCCAAGATACAGAAGACATCGATGCAGTCACAGGAGTGAAACATATATCCCACCGTGGTAATCAACCTGCCACACATGGTAGCAAGATTAATATTAAGAGACATATAGAGAAAACAAAGATTATTCCATTTCCCTTTTTTCCTGTTATTATCCATTATCTGGCAAGAGTTTCATATGTTTGGGTTATATAGTCTCAACCCTGAACACCTGTGCCTTCATGCATACACCCAAAGCCTATGGAAAAAATTGGTCTGTGTAAAAGAAAAATTAAGGACCATAAAAATAATCTCATTTCTGATGATCTATAGATATCCCATCAGCAGCATTTCATCCTTATAATTCAAATAAGAAACCCACGCCTGAACTTTGTGATAATCCCAGCCATCTAACCTTAGAACACAGTGTAATATTTTTGCAGTAGGAAGCCCAAACAACTAAGGAGCTTCTTCCCTGAGCAAGGAACTACCCAGACACAACCAAAATTTCGAACGATACTGCTGTTGTCCAACGGAATGCTAGAGAAAGTCTCAAATTTGCAAACTTAAGCAGCAACGGTTTAAAAATTTATGCTCATGTTTACTTTTTGGAGGAGAGAGAAATGCCGTTCACTCAAGAGGAAGTTAAGCAAATGTAGGCACGCAGGACCCGAGCCTGAGAAAAGAAGACGCTCTTTTTATCCCCAATACAAAAAAAAAAAAAAAATCTCCAGGACCAGGCTGGGGGCTTTACAAACTACAGGCAACATGACAGCAAAACAGCCCATCTAAACTCAACAGAGTTCCTTTGCGCAGACAGCAGTTCTTCTCAGGCACTCCGTCTGCCTTCGTACTTCTCAAGTATTTTGCATGCAAGTGGGACCACAGTCCCACTTTATTTATAAACCAGCGGGATGCAGGAATTTCTGAAATTGAGTTTGACCAGCTAAGACACTTCAGGCAGATCAAGGACCTTGTTTTCTCCCCAAGAAAGGTATTTTTAAAGGAAATACGTTCAAAAACTACACGGTTTGGAGTGAGAACTAGAATTTGGAAGAAAATGGCCATGCTATGCCCACCAAAACCAACCAACCCAAGCGGCTTTAGAAACTTTCAGATCACATCTGTTCACAATTTTGCTCAACTCAAGGTATTTAAGGCTTCAGGATGATGTGCTGTGCTTGGTCCCAAGGCTGTAACGGTGAATCCCAGTCTTCCTCACCAGCTGCCCAGTGGTGCCAAGCAGAAAAACCAGTGGAGGGACCAGCACCATCCCTGTGCTCCCAGTACTCCCCCTGTTGACTTGCGGGGGATGCAAAGGAGCTGAGGCTGGATACACTGTCCTTCCAGAAATCACGCAGCGTACACAGGTGATTAGAATTTCTAGTACAGCCCTACCTCAAAACAAGCTAAATTAAAGTTGTGCAGGTAACCTCAGGTTTCATGTTTCCCAAGCGCCTGACCTCACATGCTTCACATTCTCAGAGGTTTTCTTGCAAACATGATGAACACTCACTAAACTCACCATGAACATCCTAGATAAAAACAATTTTGGCACAGAACATTCAGATGGTTAGATCTGCCTAGCAAAGGATACCAAAGGTTTGCGAGCCTGAGTTTTAGATGGCATGTACAAGTGCCAGTGTTTGTGAAAGGTATTGCAACAGCAGATGTCACATCAGCCATTTGATATCTTTAAATCTTAAAATGCAGCTTCCCCACCCCAAAAAAAGAAAAAAAGGTAAAAATGTGAACTTTATAACTCATAACTAGAGCTGCAGATGCACAGAAGAAATAACTCTAAGGCACGCTCTGCAAAACCGAGCCTACAATTTAGTACATTTTTAAAAATAAGAGAATCGGGGAATTCAAATAAAGCTTTTTTTCAAATTTTTCAGAAGCACCTTGATGGACCATAGGCCTTTCGATAAAGATGAAACACCTCTAAAGCCATCCTGATTTATATACTGATTGCAATAAATAAATATATATAAAGTTGCATCATCACTGACAGCCCAGGAAACAAAAGCTTAGTAGTTGTGTACCACAGCTGCTGAATTACCTTCCCTAGCATCAGCAGCCAGACGGACAGCTTCCAAAACAGTCTCTGGGATGAAAAATCACGGCCAAGAGCGAGAGCAAAGGCTGGGAGAGCTTGCATAAGGGAAAAATGCAAAGAAAATCTTCTTTATTTTTTTAAAATTTAAAAAAATGAAAAAAGTCACTGGAATGGACGAGTTTATTCAAAAATACAGCGGAAACTGTCATTATCGCGTGACTCTACGAAGAAGGGCTGAAGAGAAGATGTTCTTCAGCGATAACACAGCCTGTGACCCCAGCAGGACTTTGCTGGCGCTCGTGGTTAAGCTCAGCTCGGTAAGATCGTGCTTAAGCATTCACTGCCCATCACCACCGCATCCATGCACATCTCATTAGGAGAGTCCCATGTCACTTCCTAACTCTCTCCTGGGAAGAGTCTGGAAAATGCTCGAGCCAGCCCAAAACCCATTTCTGCAACTAATGATCTATTTATTAAGTGATTTATTAAAGCGCTGCATTCCCATTTTAGCAAAACACGCTCTTTTTTTCTCCCCATAGCAGCGATCTCCTCCTTCCTTTGCTGCTACGTGATTATTTTTTTATACGCCGATGGGCAGGGTAACGTGCACTGCAGCAAGGGATGTGAAAGCCATGATTTCTGCTGAGCTCACGCTCCTGACTTTATTAATCTCAGCTTGATTTCAGGATATGAAAACGTAAATGGAGGAGGATCTATAAGCAGAAGGGCGGCAAAACGCCCGGTTCTGAACTTAGAGCAGGTCTTACCGCGAGTCACGTCGGAGGATTTTGGAAGGGGGCTCCCGCGGGGCGCTGCCGAGGGG